AGCACATTTTCCACTTGTTCTTAAAATGAATAAATCAGCCTATGTAACATATGTAATACTTTAATAATTGACTTAAGAAATACAGTTCTTTATTTATAAAAAATAAACAAATATTTTCTGTGAAATTCAGTAATTAAGTTAATTCTGTAAAAGTAGTTATACCATTATAATCTTGCCTGCTGAAAAAAAAAACCCCAATAGAACCCCTCCCAAAACACAATAAAAAAATGTAATGGATATCAGGGTTATAATGGGAATTTGTTTGGTTTTAATGTAAACTATAATGGTGTCTATTTGATGGATTCTATTGGTGGGATGTAATCTGGCAGATGGCAACCAATAGAACAACAGTAATTCCTATTGGAATAATGCCCAAAACAAAAAGGAATTTTGTAATGGTTTAATGGAAAATTTAAGAATTTCTGTGATGGTTTCTATTGTTTTTTTTCAGCAGGGTAATGATACCCATACTGTGCTGCACATTATTGGCAATATTGAGCTGAAGCTTGACTTTGCAAATTTAAAATCGCAAATCAAATCGCAATCGCAATATCTGTCAAAAAAATCGCAATTTGATATTTTCCCCCAAATCGCACAGCCCTACTACATAATAACCAAAAGATTTAAACAACAAATAAAAACATAAGCACAGTAACATGAAATGGGTTGCACAGTACAGGGAAGCAAGGATCAGTGAAGAAATTTGCTGTGTGTTTTTCTTATAGAGTCAGCAGCATGCCCCTCTCATTAATACACTGAGAGACTTCGAAATAATGCAGGTGGGACTGCAGCACTCCAGCAGTCTGGAGACCCACAGACTTCTAATCCATCTATCTCCCTCAACCAGCCGGGCAAAGCAGAACCCAGTACTGACCCAATTGCACAGAAATTTACACAGGCCCTCATCCCTGTCCTCTTTCAAGGACTGGGGGAAAGACACTCAAAAGGCATGACTAACTATGAGACGAAGCTACTAGGAACATGGAGTTTAAGTCTGAGACCATTTCAAAACTCACATTAAACATACATATTTACATGTATGCATTTAGCAGACACATACATTGGCAGCATCACTGAACATGCAGAGAAAAAAAAAGTGTAAAACTAGAGCATTTAGTAACATACAAAACTAGTTATTCAAAAACATTTAAATAAACCTCCAACTCAAATCTGTATTCTAAGCAGTAGGTTAGTGAAGCTTATTAAACATCATTTAAATTCTCTTTGAAAATTGGGGAGTAGCTGTTGCAACCTGCTTCAATCAGCAACTGCAGTTTAGCGTCATTAAAGAGTTATAATTAAAACAGATTTCTTTGATTAATTAATAATCAAATCATTAAGGATTGAGTACAAAAGGAGAGCAGTACTACTAAGCTCTTGATGTGCTTGTATAACAGTGAGGTGGCGCTGTTCAGCACTGCTGGTGCTGAAACTGCACTACATTTAAGCTTGAAGGGTCAGAGTTGTGGTAGTAATCAAAGAAAAAAAAACACTAATCATAAATGTGATTGAAAGAATGCTAATAAAGAAACCAAAGATGAATGCTTTTTAAAAAATTAAGGTTCACTGAAATCATTTATTTTGAGTAAACTGAATGTAAACAGGTTTTGCGCTGCATGTTGCAACACGTGTGCATGAAACACATTTTCAGCATGATATCAAGCTACAAAAGTGAATGTTTTGCTTCACTTCTGTATTTTTCTATTAACTAAATATGTGCTAAAATTCCACTATTAAAAAAATGTATAATAAAAATAATAATAATAAAGAAAAGCATGCACATAGTGAATATGTGAATAGTGCATATAAGTGAAATTTCAGTGACTTTATAGACTAAGGTCTTAAATAATGCTCACCTTCCCAGTGGTAGGAAGAGTTTGGGTTTGTGTAAAAGTATCTTCTCCATGAATGCTGATCAGTTCAGCCTCTGCAGGCGGAAATGGCGAAGGAAAAACCACCATGTCGTTCTTCATTGTGTCTGAGCTAAAACAAACGTCATATTGTTGCGTCGATTTAGAGAAGGACCAGCTGCCGTCTGGATGTGTGCTGATCACTGGAGCGCTGTACCTGCTGAAACTGCCGTCTGTCATGTAGCATTTAGCTGTTATCAAACCCACGAGACTCAGTAAAAAGATGACTGAGACTGAGACAATAGCGATGAGCAGATACAGATTCAGATCTGAAAAACTCTCCTCTTTAACAGGAACTTCTCTGAATGATGTCTTTATGTCATCCAGACTCTCAACAACCACAACATCCATGGACATAGTTGCTGAGAGTGATGGCTCTCCATTATCAGACACTGTGATAAGAAGTAGATGAGTTTTTAAGTCATTGTCACTCATTCGTCTCTTTGTCTTTATTTCTCCAGTGCTGCTTCCAATGCGGAAAAGATTTGTTCCTTTGGGTTCAGTTAGATAATAAGACAGAAGTGCGTTATATCCAGAGTCAGCATCAACAGCTCTGATCTTGGCTACAAAGTATCCCGCTTCAGCAGAGTAGGGAATGTTCTCACTATTAACTGATCCAGGTTCAGAATAAGGCATTAAAATAACCGGACTGTTGTCATTCTCATCCAGAATAAACACATTTACAGTTGCATTACTTCTCAGAGGAGGCACACCGGAGTCTGTTGCCCGAACATGGAAACTAAGGGTTTTCTGTTCTTCAAAATTGAAAGACTGTAGGTTATACAACTGGCCTGTCAATGAGTTAACACTAACAGCATTTATGCTTGTTGTTTTGTTATCCAAAATGGAATAAGAAATTTCAGCGTTTTCATTTGAATCTCTGTCAATTGCTGACACCGTGTGAATGAGGGTTCCTAGGGGAGTGTTTTCTTTTACATAGACAGAAATAATTTTTTCGTTAAATTGTGGAGGATTGTCATTCACATCTGAAACGTCAACATAAACTACACTGGTGCTGGAAAGTGGTGGGGTTCCTTCATCTACTGCTACGAGGGTTACATTATACTTGGACATGTTTTCCCTGTCAAGCTGGCCTTCCAAAACAACAGAGTAATAATTCTTGTAGGAAGACTCGAGTTTGAAAGGTACATTTCCTAGCAGCTTACAACTCACTTTTCCATTCATTGCACCATCCTTATCCGAAACTGTGACCAGAGCCACAGCAGTGCCAGTTTTTGCATCTTCCCTTAAAGAAGACAGCAATGATGTTATTACTATTTCTGGTGCATTATCATTAACATCTATGACTTCAATTAGTACTTTACAATTAGTTGTCATGGGAGGAGAAGCTTTATCATGGGCCTCCACTCTAAGTTCATAAAAAGCTTTGACCTCAAAATCAATATTTCCTTTAACTTCAATCTCCCCAGAATCAGTACTGATAGAAAACACATCAAGATTTTTTTCCTGACCATGACTACTAAACAGATATGTTATTTCTCCATTTGAACCTTCATCCATGTCGGTAGCATTGAGCTTGATTATTTTAGTCCTGTGCGGTGTGTTCTCTGTCACACGGACTTTATAAAGAGGATTTCTAAACACTGGAGCATTATCGTTTGTATCTAAAATGTTAACTATAATTTGTAATGTCCCAGATCTGGATGGTTTCCCTCCATCAGAAGCAGTCAACATTAGTCGTATTACAGGTTCTTTCTCTCTATCTAAAGCTTTTCGAAGGATTAGCTCTGCAGACATGCCATGTTCACCATCCTGGTTTACTTCTATTGAGAAATGTTCATTAGGACTCAGTTTATAGCTTTTAACAGAGAAAGGTCCTACATCTTCATCCACTGCACTGATCAAGGAATATGTAGCTCCTGGCTGCACTGATTCAGAGATATTCAAAACCTGCGTTTCAACAGGGAACGTAGGAGAATTGTCATTCACATCATTAACATTAACTATCACTCGACTCAGACTGAGAGGGTGGTTTACTATCGCCTCAAAATACAAGGAACAGGATGGAGTAATAGGACATAGCTGCTCGCGGTCAATTCTTTCTGCAACATACAAGACGCCAGATTTCAAATTCACATCTAAATACCTCGTCCTCATGCCGAATACAAGCTGAAATGCCCGTGATTCCAAATCCTGGACGTTGAAATTCATGTCCTTCACCACATTTCCGACGACAGTTCCGATATTTACTTCCTCTGACACGGTGTAGACAATCTGACCATCCACTGGAACTGAAACACAAATTACGAGCCAGAGGAAAGTAATATGTGAGAACGTCAAGTTCTTTCTGTCGGCCATCCTTCCGCATGAGATGGCAACGTGATCAAAACAATACAACGGTCATCAGAAGAACATCAAAACTCTGCAGACACAGAATTAAGAATGAGACTCAAGAAAACACGCCACGAAAAGCATCTCGACTGTGACGCCCGGTTATAGCACGTCACTCAGCAAAATCGTAGGCGGAGTTCAGATGGTATATGGAAATTATTAAAGTTTAGCGGTCTACAGTGACACCACGCGGAGCACGTGCGGTTCTGTGTGGCGAAACCACACAAATTAAACATACACCATCACAAAAGAAAATAACCAGGTATTGTAAATTAAGATAACACCGAAAGGGCTATACTAGTCAAAAAAAAAAAAACAGTCTGCATAAACTAGACTATACATCAACAAAGGCATATGCCTTTAGAATACAGCAAGTCAGTACAGTAGGAGTTTATGGTTATGTTTGTATATATTAGTGATTAAAACATTTGGACAAACTGTTAAGCATGAGAAAACTTTTTTGGTTGTTAGGCTATATTAAAAATGAAACTATAATTTGAATACATTACCAGGTGAAAAAGAAGTAGGCCTACTCTAAAATGTATTAAAAATTGAAATTTTAGAGTATTTACGGAAAACATACTTATTTTACTCTTAAAATATATGTTATGTTTACTTTGTGTAAGAACATAGTAAAATTATTCAGCTTTTAGTGGGTTTAAAGTATGTAATTTATAACCATATGTAGACCTACAATATATTTTAAATATTTAATGAACATATGCTTCAGCCTGCTTTTCAAAACATTTTGAAGTATATGAATTCACTCACACATAAATAGCTTATAGCTATAAAATAAGCATATGTATTCTTACATTGTACCAACTTATAATATAAATATAATTTTGTCAACTATGCCTTAGTAATAAGCATACTTAAAAATGTTGTTCGGTTTTACTTGTTTGTACTCGTAAACGCATACTGTTTTGTAATACAATTCAAATACATTTTAATTTCACTTTTAAATAGGCCTACATATCATTACTTGTAATACGCTCATATTTAACTGTATTTTCCACAAGCATTTCAACATCGTTCGAAGTGCATCATAAATCATTTTTCTAAAGATATGCTTAAAATCCTTATTTACTTGATTATGTACCTAAAATTAAAACAAGCTCAACCTACCACGTGATGCGCGAAAACAAACCTCATTCGCTCACTGGCCTTTGTGGAAGCTCAGGGCTGCGTTCAGCCCCGACAAAAAAACGTTGCGCACCAGTTTGAGCTTGAACTTGCCCCAGGCGTTCTTGCTTAACACGTGTTACAAAACCTGATTGGTTCTCGAGCCCCCGTCGATGGATGTGAATAAAAGTCTGAATTAAAACTGTTAAGTCATATAGAGCGGACATGGAAGAAACCACTCGATTCATATGGATTACTTTAGCATGTTTGAAGTCATGAAATGGGAATAATTTTGGTGACTTTCAGCGGGACATACATTTATCAAATTGCATTAAAATACATCAGTTTTTGTTTCGAAGATGGACAAAAGTCTTAAAGGGTTTGGAACAACATGAAGGTGAATAATTGATTACAGAATATATATATATTACATTAACATCTTATTTCATTATATTACATCTTTATTTTTCCCAGCTTCTTAAAGCATATGTGTGTGTAGATTTGGAACCTCAGTTCTTTGTCACTCTAGGTAAGTATTTAATTTATGTTACATTCAGTTTGACCAATCAGAGCCAAGCTTTTCAAATCGACTTTGCAGGTAATAGTCCAATCACACGGCTGTATGCTGTTGATATGGTAACATGTTTTCAGCAGAAATCATCCGTGTCGCTTTATTTTATTTTTATGACTAGAAAACCAGGCCAGCTCCTGCCTCCCGTGATCAAATTAATAGGTGCTTAAAAGGTGCGTCTGCTAAGTCGAAGCAGGACAGACGAAGATACTGACTGCAGAAACACTCCTCCTTGGTGGTAAGTTTTTACTAGCCATTTGTTTAACTAACTTTAATATCACTTCTGAGTTTTTCCTTGGTGGATAGTGCTTGGTGTGTATTTGCAAATGTTAGCTAACACATGGAATGTTAACGTAACGTGACACTGACACTTACTAGCCAAGTTAGTTATCTAACAACTTTAGGCACCGGATATATGGTTGCTTAAAGTCTAGGTAGTGGCATTTTGTCTGTCATATAACAACTATAAAAACATTGTCCAATGTATTGGCAGAAAGAATAATTTGTCGTTATAGCATGTACCCCATTAACATGCTTTTTAAATTATAATGAAGTTGTGTGTGTTTTTCCCCCCTCAACAATTTGTAATTGTTACAATTGTAATGAAGTAAATGTTAAATATAAATTCATATTTCATTGTGAAATATTAAGTTATAATTTGTTGTTTTTAGATCATCTGCTGATGCATTAGAAGACTAATTGAAATCAGATGAAGAGAGTGGTAAGTGTGTTTATCTCATATAAGTGAATTTCACAGGTTTAATTCTGGCTGACATATTTCCTAATAAAGAGACTATTGAGGCTTTGAGTGTCATGCTAACTTTGGATTCAGCACTTCTGTTGTAGAGATGTTGGGCCTCTTCTAACCTTATGTTCAATATAACACAAAGTATTGTATGGTGACGACAGACAAGAGGATAAAACAGACGCTCATGGCAAGCTTGATGAGGATTTAGTCCAAGCTTTGAAAGGTAAATTGAGAACAGTCAAAGGGCCTGTTTACACCAGAGAAAACGCATGAAGTGACCAGGTGTAAACAGGCCTAAATAAATTCTAATGCATATCTATGCAAATTGTAATGCATATGATATTCAAAAACACCACTCAAAACCACTGATTAATTATTTTTCCTTTTCAGACCCTGTGATGAAGAAATGTTCAAAAACCACAGTGTCAGAATTACTACATGCCATCAGATGCAGAAAATCCAATAAGTCATACTCAAAGAAAAGTGACCCTGCACTTGAAGATGAAGATGGTGACATTTCAAATGTTCTGTTTCTTTGTTTGGTTCAGCCATTTGCAAGCTTAACTTTGTAAATAATAATAATAATAATAATAAATAAAAAACAAACAATAAAATTATTCACTTCTGCTCTTTATTTGTGTGTGTGTGTGTGTGTGTGTGTGTGTGTGTGTGTATAAAATTGCATTATGCTTTTTTTTATTCAGTGATGGAATATTCATAGTGTACTTTCCAGAATACAGTTATAACAGAAATGTTCTGCAAATTGATTAAAGTAGTTGTGTTATAGCATTTAACTGATCTTTATTTTAATTTAATATAATTTACTATAATTATTTTGGTCAAGAGTTTATATATGCTGCTGTACTTTTTAAATGTACTCAATTAATGTATTATTGTAATGTACACAAGATATAGTACATTAAAGTTTTCTAGATGTGAAAGTGTGTGTACATGTGTGTCATTTTAATTTAATGATTTTTGTACTTTTTAATATACCAATGCTGAAAAATAGCTTTGTAACAGTGTACTATTAATGCATTTCTAATAAGCTGAGATGCTATTGAAAATGTTCTTGAAGAATATTAAAGTAAGCCTTAAAATATATTCTGTATTTCAAGAAGTATAAAAGTGTATTTTAAATAATGTAAAGAAAGGAATTTGTTGTTGTAATGTACACAAGATACACTAAGTATATTAACGTTTTCTAGATGTGAAAGTGTGTGCATGTATGTCATGTTCATTTAATGATTTTTGTACTTTTTAATATAACATTTTAGAATGCTGAAAAATACCTTCATAACAAATTAATAGTGTGCTGGTAATGCATTTCTAATGAGCTGAAATGCTATTGAAAATGTAGAAGTACATTAAAGTGAAGCTTAAAATATATTCTAACTGTACTTCAAGAATTATAAAAGTGTATTTTACATAATGTGAAGAAGTACAATTAAATTACACTAAAGATACTTTAAGTTGTTCCATTTTAACAACTAAATATATTAAAATATATTAGCTTAAAGTTCATATTAAGCAGCACTTACCATACTTAAAGTTGTTCCAAAATAACACATTTATTATGCACTTAGTATAGTATAATAAAAATATAATAAGTGCATCGATATTAGTACAGCTTAAGTGTATTTCTTTTTTTTACCTGGGTTTGCCACACATTGAATTAAATAAAATTATAGAAATTCTAAAAAAAAAAAAAGATGATTATACAGACTTTAGAGAAAAAGAGCACAAGATCAAGCAGAGTCAGATATGTAAGCGGAAAACCAATTTAGTGGAACATTTTGGAAACACACCAACATGAAGCTAAATGGGGGAAAAAGTCTTCTAAAAAAGAGTCAATTTAAGCAAATAATCAATTATATGCCAATTATATTTTGTATTGATTTTTATAGTGCTTTTGCCTAAAAAATGTTTTTCGTTCATACTTATTGGTTTGTTTACAACATACATTTTCATTACAAATGATTTTTAATTGTCTTTTAATTTCACTGATCTTTCTTTTTACTCCGATTCATTCCGAATACTTTTCGCAATCCTTTACAAAGATTCAATCCTTCACTTTATTTCCAAAAACAAGCCTCTTTTTGACTTCCATGGAACAGTTTAAGACTTGACGAGAGTATAAACGCATCGATATGCTTTAACTTCAGTGAACCTAATCATTTTTTTTCAGTGTTAAGAAATTATAACATGGGAAATGTAATGCTTGTTTGCCATTACATCAACCCTGAGCTGACATTTTAAATGTAATCCACTGCATTTGATGGCAAATGGGTGGAATTTAACTACAGTGATCTACAATTTGATCAGCAGTGACACCAAGACTATTAAGTGCAAGTTAGCAACACAGAGTTATCACATTTAAAAGCCAACAGAACAATTATGTAACACTGGAGTAAAGTATAAAACAATCTGTGTGTGTACACATACATTTCAACAAGCACCATTGTCTATACAACTGAAAAATATGAGACCACATAGCCCTGCAGATGTGAAGCTGAAATGCCCCATGTACTAAAATCACACATTTACTTGACACGGTAGTAAAAAGTTACCAAGCTACAAAAAGTTCAGTATGATGATGTTTTCAAACTGTGAAATTAAGGTTTTATCTTACCTTGGTAGTGCTTGGAAGTGATTGAGTCCTATTAAAAGTGTCTCCTTCATTAATGCTGATTAGTTCTGCATCTGGCAGTGGAAAGGTCGAAGGAAACACGACTACATCACTCTTTATTGTGTCTGAACTGAAACACACGTCGTACTGTTGTGTGGATTTAGAAAAGGACCAGCTTCCGTCTGGATGTGTGCTGATCACTGGAGCGCTGTACCTGCTGAAACTGCCGTCTGTCCTGTAGCATTTGGCTGCTATCAAACCCACAAGACTCAGTAAAAAGATGACTGATACTGAGACAATAGCGATGAGCAGATACAGATTCAGATCTGAAAAACTCTCCTCTTTAACAGGAACTTCTCTGAATGATGTCTTTATGTCATCCAGACTCTCAACAACCACAACATCCATGGACATAGTCGCTGAGAGTGATGGCTCTCCATTATCAGACACTGTGATGAGAAGAGGGTGAGTTTTTAAGTCATTGTCACTCATTCGTCTCTTAGTCCTTATTTCTCCAGTGCTGCTTCCAATGCGGAAGAGATTAGTTCCTTTGGGTTCAGTTAGATGATAAGACAGAAGTGCGTTATATCCAGAGTCAGCATCAACAGCTCTGATCTTGGCTACAAAGTATCCCGCTTCAGCAGAGTAGGGAATGTTCTCACTATTAAATGATCCAGGTTCAGAATAAGACGGTAAAATAACTGGACTGTTGTCATTCTCATCCAGAATAAACACATTTACAGTCGCATTACTTCTCAGAGGAGGAACACCGGAGTCTGTTGCCATAACCTGAAATTGAAATCTTTTCATTTCTTCGTGATTAAATGATTGCAAACTGAATATTTCGCCACTTAAAGAGTTTATATTGATCAGTGTTGTTATAGGAACACTGGAGCTGGAACTGTCTAACAGTGAATATGAAAGTGCTGCGTTCTCACCAGTGTCTGAATCATCAGCTGACACTCTTGTCACCAGACCTCCAGCTTGACCATTCTCACGAAGAAAAGCGTTAATAACGGGAGCTGGGAAATGTGGAGCATTGTCATTAACATCAGAGATATGTACAGTTATAAGAGTGCTGCTGGAAAGAGGCGGAGTTCCTTCATCTGCAGCTGTAATTGTGATGTTATACAGAGAAACACTCTCTCTGTCCAGAGGTCCATCTACCACTAGAGAATAATGATTGTTATATGACGTCTCCAGTTTGAAAGGAAACAAACCTTTCAGTGCACAGTGTACAATGCCATTTTTACCTCCATCTTTATCAGACACTGTGACTAAAGCAACTGCAGTTCCCGGTTTTGTATCTTCTTTCACAATTTCCAACAGAGGAGTCATAACTATTTCTGGCGCGTTGTCATTTTCATCCACAACTTCTATTAAAACTTTACAGTGTGTACTTTTAGGAGGAACGCCTTTATCTCTCGCCTGAACGCGCAGTTCAATTGCAGGGTGTTCCTCGTAATCAATTTGACCTTGAACAACAATTTCTCCCGAGTTAGAATTTATGATAAACAAGTTCATTTCATCGGTATGTCCATGAAATGAATACTGTATTTCACTATTGATGCCCTCATCTAAATCACTGGCAGAAACCGGCATTATTTTGGTTCCAGTTGATGCGTTTTCCTTCACTTTAACTTTGTATAAAGGTTTGGTGAAAATAGGTTTATTATCATTTACATCCATGACGTCAACATGACTAAAGCAACTGCAGTTCCTGACTTTGTGTCTTCTTTCACACTTTCCACCAGAGGAGTCACAATAATCTCTGGTGCATTATCATTTTCATCCATAACTTCTATTAAAAGTTTACATTGTGTGCTCTTTGGTGGACTGCCTTTATCTCTCGCCTGAACTCGTAATTCAATTGCAGCATTTATATCATGGTCTATTTGACCCTTCACAACAATATCCCCGGTTTCAGGAACCACAGTGAATAGATTTTGCTTTTTTATGTTTCCATGTTCAGCTATGGAGTAAATAATGTCACTGTTGGTGCCCTCATCCAAATCAGTAGCAGTCAAAGAGATGATTTTGGTACCAATAGAAACATTTTCTCTCACCTTGATCTTGTACAAAGGTTTGCTGAAGACAGGCCAGTTGTCATTTATATCCAGTACATTCACTATTACACTTAATATTCCTGTCTTTGCTGGCTTTCCTCCATCAACAGCTGTCAGTACAAGAGGACTTACTGATTGTTTTTCACGATCTAAAGGTTTTTGGAGCACTAATTCAGCAGACACACTCTGCTCTTCAGTTTGTACGTCAATAGAAAAGTGCTCATTCTTGCTTAGTTTGTAGTCTTTTAGTGTATTAATGCCAATGTCGTTATCTTCAGCTACAGGAATATGAAATCTAGCTCCCGAAACAACATCCTCGGTAATGTTTATCGTTATAACGTTGTCCACACACTATGGAGCATTATCATTAACATCCAGAACATGAATTTCAATTCTATAACGGCTATGAGGATTTTGAATAACAGCCTCCAAATTAAGAGCACATTGTTGATAAGCGAAGCATAACTCCTCCCGGTCAATTCTTTCATTCACAAACAACGCTCCCGTTTTCAAATTCACATCAAAATATTTCCTGTTGGATCGAGTCACAAGCTGCAAGATACGAGATTCCAGAACACTGATCTTGAGATCCTTTGCTATATTTCCGACAACAGTTCCCTTATTTACTTCCTCCGAGACCTTATAGATAATCATGCCGCATGAAGATCGCCATAAACAACAATGCAGAGCTGTTATGACGCACAAATATCTTAAGCTTTCCATAATTGTTTCTTCAAAGCCTCAAAGATTAATCCGTTTAAAAAACACAATTTTTTTGTCTCACTGCTGCCAAGACCTTAGCCTCTGAAGCCTTTATTATACCTTAACATTTACACATGACTACAGTATATACTGATTGCTCTTCCGTGGTAAGGAGGAGCCTCATTTTAATAAAAGAAGTGCTTCAAATTCGTGGTCTGCAGCGACATCGCGCGTTTTAGCTGCATTATTGTTGGAGATATTTTATTTAAATTGCAATTTTTCACAGTATAAATGTATGCTTCAAAAGAATGGAATTGGTAAATTGCAAGGTATAAATCCAATCAAGACACGTTCGTCTGTAAATAACCCCAGCACTAGTTAAAAAGGGAATAAATTCTGATGGTTGTAGGACTCAGATAAGATTAAATGTATTTACATCTAACCAAGATCACCTGAGTGGACGGAAAGCAAAGCGATGACGAAATGTTCATTGTCCATGGTGCTGAAAACTGTTATAGGATAACAACTCCTTAAGACTTCGATATTGTCTTTGTTATTGATAAAGCGCATTTTATTGTATTTTGTCAATCACCTTTTATTTATACTTGCCTTTTTTTTGTCACTGTATAATAGCAACGACGACAAAGGCAATGCAATTCAGTTCAGCGAAATTAATTAAGAGAAGCGACAGTAATAGCTTGACTCAAATCCAACGCAAATGCTGTGATAACTACTAAATAAATAAATAACTCTCCAAAATTTTCGAATTGAATGGTTTTTTTTTTCTTTTCTTTTTTTACACAACTAGGGTTACAAATTCTTCTTACCTTCTCGGTGGTCGGAAGAGTTTGAGTTTGTGTAAAAGTGTCTTCTCCATTAATGCTAAGAAGTGGGTGAGTTTTTAAGTCATTGTCACTCATTCGTCTCTTTGTCTTTATTTCTCCAGTGCTGCTTCCAATGCGGAAGAGATTCGTTCCTTTGGGTTCAGTTAGATGATAAGACAGAAGTGCGTTATATCCAGAGTCAGCATCAACAGCTCGGATCTTGGCTACAAAGTATCCCGCTTCAGCAGAGTAGGGAATGTTCTCACTATTAACTGATCCAGGTTCAGAATAAGACGGTAAAATAACTGGACTGTTGTCATTCTCATCCAGAATAAACATATTTACAGTGGCATTACTGCTCAGAGGAGGAACACCAGAATCTGTTGCCATAACTTGAAACTGCAATCTTTTCGTTTCTTCGTGATTGAATGATTGCAAACTGAATATTTCGCCACTTAAAGAGTTTACATTGATCAGTGTTGTTATAGGAACACTGGAGCTGGAACTGTCTAACAGTGAATATGAAAGTGCTGCGTTCTCACCAGTGTCTGAATCATCAGCTGACACTCTTGTCACCAGACCTCCAGCTTGACCATTCTCACGAAGAAAAGCGTTAATAACGGGAGCTGGGAAATGTGGAGCATTGTCATTAACATCAGAGATATGTACAGTTATAAGAGTGCTGCTGGAAAGAGGCGGAGTTCCTTCATCTGCAGCTGTAATTGTGATGTTATACAGAGAAACACTCTCTCTGTCCAGAGGTCCATCTACCACTAGAGAATAATGATTGTTATATGACGTCTCCAGTTTGAAAGGATACGAGCCTTTCAGTGCACAGTGTACAATGCCATTTTTACCTCCATCTTTATCAGACACTGTGACTAAAGCAACAGCAGTTTTTGACTTTGTGTCTTCTTTCACACTTTCCAAAAGTGGAGTCAAAGTTATCTCTGGTGCATTATCATTTTCATCCATAACTTCTATTAGCACTTTACATTGTGTGCTCTTTGGGGAATTGCCTCTGTCTCTTGCACGAACTCGCAATTCAATAGCAGCATTCTCCTCGAAGTCAATATGTCCTTTTACAACAATTTCTCCTGTCTCGGGGATAATGGTAAACAAGTTTTGCTTCTTTCCATGATCCACAAATGAGTACACAATTTCACTGTTTATGCCTTCATCCAAATCAGAAGCAAACACAGATAAAACTTTAGTACCAGCAGAAACATTTTCTTTTAGTTTAACTTTGTAAAGAGGTTGAATAAACACGGGGTTATTATCATTAATATCCATTACTTTTATAATAATATTTAACGCTCCCGATTTAGGTGGTTTTCCTCCATCTACACCGGTTAGCACCAACTTAACTGTCGCTTGTTTCTCTCGATCTAAAGCCTTATTCAGCACTAACTCAGCAGACACACTCTGGTCTTCACTCTGTGTCTCTAGACTGAAATGTTCATTCGGACTCAGTTTGTACTCTTTCAGCGAATTACTGCCAACATCAGAGTCCTCGGCCACAGGGAGAGGAAATCTCTCTCCTGGACTTGCATTTTCGGTAATATTCATAGTAAATTCTTTAACAAGGAAATGTGGCGCATTGTCGTTTATTTCCAAGATCTTAATCTCCACCCTGTAAAGATGATGAGGATTTTTAGCGAGGGCCTCTATATTCAAAGAGCATTTCTGATTCGACACGCATAACTCCTCACGGTCAATTCTGTCATTAACAAACAGCACGCCAGTTTTCAGATTTACGTCAAAATACTTCTTATTTGATCCAGTCACAATCTCAAGCATACGAGATTCCAGTTCGTGAACATTTATGTTCAGGTCTTTCGCTATATTCCCAACAACTGTCCCTTTATTTACCTCTTCCGGTACGGAATAGACGATTTGAGCAGACGCAGAATCCAGCAAAGAAAGGAAAAATATAAATCCACACTCGAAATATCCCATTAAGACCATGATGACCATTCACAACTGTCTTGGTGGCAGTAAAACAAAAAATATAAGCTCGAGAATCTATATTTCTTCTTTGCATTCAGGAAACACGAAACGAAACAGCATCATTACGTCTCAGCAGCAGATACACTCACTAACACCAAGATTCAGAGAGAGAGAGAGAGAGAGAGAGAGAGGCTGCAGAGAACAAACTATAAACATTTTACTGACGGTCTGCAGTGACACCATGTGCATTACCTATAGTATAACAGGAATTATCTATTTATAAATAATAAAAAAAAGGAATAATATAACAACGACATCAACAGCAGCAATACTCAAATACATTTAACGCTCAAAAACAACTTAAAAATGCGCAGTATAATGTTACATGATAGCAGCATGAATAATCTAATAAGACTGCAAACAATCAAACAGATGTTTGTTACAACAGAATCTACTCTGTAAAATGCAGTGGTCGATTAAACAGGTCATAATAGAAAGTTGTTTTAACAAAACTAATGACCCAGTAAGTGAGATGCACAGTGATATGATGGAAAAAAGGTCAAATCTGTCAATATAATAGAAGAAAACACGACTGGAACACTGTGTTGCCGAATCACTGAATGCCAGAATTTATTACTATTATTATTATTATTAATAAGATCTATTTTCGGTTTCGTTGTTGCATATAGTGCCTTTTAATTGCGCTTTGCCTGTCTCGTGCGTCTTAAAATCTTAATGTATATATCTCCTTGAGACATATTGTTACAAATAAAGGCTCCAAAAAGGGGTTTTCGTAGCGATGCAAAAAAAAAAAAAATCTGTTTCCCCAAAGAGCATTTATTTAGTTAACATTTGTCCCTCTCCTTAGTGTGAAAGAACATTTTGTGCAGTGGAAATGTCCCATGGATGTTAAAAGTTTATGAATGTTGAACCTTTTGTTAAAAAAACAAAACAAAAAATAGCGTAGGGTCTACTGATTTTCTAATATGTAAAACATAAAGCTCAAATACACCATGATTGTTTTAATGCTTTAAAATGTTAAAACATTTTAAAACATCCACCATAAAGGACCAGATTAACCATATACAGTATGCTCCTCAAACGCCATATCACT